AAGGTAAGGTATGGACCTGCCAGCTGGTTAAGATTGTTTGGCTCAAAGAAGGCGCAGTGAGAATTAAAATGACAACATAAACAGGTGACCGTACTGCATTTGTGCAGATTATTAATGATGCTCCAGTCCTGATGCATCTCTGTTCTCTGTCAGAATTCAATTTTTTTGGTATTTGAATGTTTTTTTTTGTTGTTGCTTGGAGCTTAAACAGCTGATGCTAGTTGATCATTTCTGTGGGTCAAATATATTCTGTTTTTCACATCTTTAATGTACTTTTTTAATTCTTGACTGTATGAAAAGTGTATCACAGATGAAAATAAAATTGATAAAACAAATATTTAATATCTGCTTAGCGATATGTCCAACATGACAATATGTTATGTTTGCTTAATATCTTTATTAGCCTTGCTGAAATATGATGGCACAATCTTACATTTTATTACATCTTTAAGTGTCTAATTAGTTTTGGATACACAGAAAAAAAGTGCTTTTTACATTCTTATCCATGTGATTCATATTTAAATTAGTTTGTTACTGAAATGTTTTTTATTTCTGTCAAATTGATTATTTTCACTGCCCTGAAGACGATGTGTTTATTTTCTGCTTTTATAACTAAATAAATTTAAATTAACAAACTAAATATTGAATTTGTGTAAGTTATGTTTTATTTGTTTTGCAGAACTGAAAAGTGCCTCCAGCTGACATCCCTGTTTTTAACTGATTGGTTAAAGGAGATATATTCTGTTTATCATCTCTGTGGTTATATTCAAAGTTCACTAAATGAAAAGCCAATAAAGTTGCTTTGCATATTTCCACAACAAAAACTATTACTCATTTTGAAAGACCACAAAGTTTGACATGATTTAAGGTTAATGTCACACTTTGTTCTGGTTTTTCCCAATGGACACAGACTCTGCACTTATAGCAGCATTTAACACAGAACTGAAAGTGAAGGCGCTTCACACACACACACACACACACACACACACACACACCCCCCACACACACACGGCATGCTGCTTTTTCTTATTGTACATTTCTTATCAAAATAATATTAAAGCCTAATATTTCAACAAATGGATCTGAATAATGACAAAATAATCTAAAAGTTTAGTTTAGGTCACCACCTGCTAAATCACATGAATGTAAAATTATAGCAAATAATTCAAATTAAGGAGGTTACAAGTTTAAATTGAAAAAAATCACAAACATTAATCTGAGGAATAAACTTTCTATTTCCAGCTGTATAATATTGTCCTGCTGAACTGATTAACTGTGCCGTCTGTATGGAAGGCATTTAGTGTCTAATTTTTCATTGAAAAGCAATTAAAATGTACTGAAAAATAACTTCAAACATAAATCAGGATCTCTTGACAAACAAATGCAAATAGATAAATGTATTTTAGAAACTGACCAGGCTGCCTCCAGCCTCTGTTTATGACTAATTTGAATTATGTTGGAGAAATACATTAACAATGAACAGCCTCATTATGAAAAATATTTCAGTAATTCACAATTTAAGCAGCAGAAAAATCATTTTATTGCACTTTAATACGTAACTTGAAGCTCTGATAATAACATAAGTTGAAAGGATTTTCTTTTTTTAATGCAATCTGAAATGAGGTTAAAGTTTGTCGTTTGTATTCTGATAAATGTCTCTTTGCTTTGACAGCAGGATTTGTATTCATGCAAAAACATTTCTGTCTTTGTGTCGGTGCTGGTGAGAAGCAGCTACATCTGCAGCTGCACGAGGCACAAGGTGGGTTCCTGCTTACACTTCATTCACTTTTAAATATGACTGTAATCCTGAATGCAGGTTAGACAACGTGGGTTTTATTTTGGTGCAGCTTCAGCAGCCATTACACTGCATGATGGGATGCGGCGCCACTATTGTTGGTTTACAGTCCACCATTTATAACATTGATCTAGTTTCTGAGGGTTAAAATAACCTTTATCTCCACTACAGACATTATGTGAAATTAAAAACTAGAAAAGTCTCATTTTGCTTAGTTAAAAATGTAACAGTGTTTCTTTACAACCTTGTAAAGTATTTTATGGAACTTATCACCTGTTTTTCACAGAAGAAATACAGGAAATAAAAATTTACTAAAAACTTCAGGAGAGACAGAAATAAATCAGGAAACAGAATCCAGTGAAATTGTCCCAAGCTGTTTGTCCAGTTCTGTAGAAATAAAGTGCAGCTTCGTCACATCCTCACTTTCATGAGAAAAATATATTCTATGTAATAATATAATACACAAGGGGCAGACATTTAAGAAAAACATTTTATTTATATAATATCTCAACTAACATGTTAATATTTCCTTTATCCTTCTTAGGAAGTGTTTATTATGACAACATTTCTCACTGTTGCTAAAATGTTTTTTTTTCATGTTTCCACTTTTGTCCATTCATGTTTTGTGATGAGATAGAAATCTCTGTTGTTGGAAGGCCTCACTGCCATCACCCTAATCTGATCTCCCTCCAAACGTTGCGTCTCTTCCTGCTGTTCAAAGTGAAACCTGGTCAAATCAAACGATGACTTCAGCTCTCAGTGGATTCATAGTTATATTCTGCCATCTCTCATACTTTTCCTGTTTTCTGTTTTAAGCTCACAGGCTTGAAAACCAAAATGTCCAGCAACGCATCAGGCGGATACTTCAACATGATGTACAACTGTGACTCTTATAAAAGTGCAGAGTTATTCTCCGTTGCCTTCATGGTCATCCGGTTCCTGTGTGCTGTTCCGGTCTCCATCGTCGTCCTCTGCTTGGGTTTCCGGCGGCGGCGGCGCGCCACTAAAACCAGCCACTCTGATCTCTTCATCTACAACTCTGCCGCCTTGCAGCTCGTTTTTGGATTTGCAGCCATTTTTTACCTCACTGGCCTCTACGCTCACATCGCTAACGTTTCACTTTTGGGGGTTTATGCAGCCAGCATTGCTTTTCCTGGAGAAATAGTTCTTCACATCCTGACATGCATGGATCGCTACCTGGCCGTTGTTCACCCCGTCACCTACAGGGGGCTGACTCAGTCCACTGGGATCAGGATCAGGAACATCAGCATCGTCTGTGCTTGGCTGATCAGTTTCGGATGGGTTGGGCTTGTAGCTCTCTTTCACCCTGAGATGCCTTATGCTGCATATTTCTGCTTGTTTGCTGTCTCAATAACAAGCATTTCTTTCTGCAGCGTCTCGGTTCTTTATGTTCTGATTGATCCAGGTCCGGGTAAAAAAGAGAAGGCAGACAAAGCCAAGAGGAAAGCTTTCCAGACCATCATGGCCATCCTTGGCGTCCTCCTCGTGTATTTTGTGGCCAGCATTGTTGTTGTTGCTGTGAAAAAATTAAATCTGCTCATTAATGAGAATGCATGTCTGATTCTGACGTCTGCACAGTGGTTTGGTATTCCATGCAGCGTCGCTTTACCTCTGTTGTTTCTGCGCAAAGCAAAGAAGTTTTAGTCCCAACCTGCTAATCAGTAACTAACTTAGCAAAGCATTTGCTGAATGACTTTAAAGTAAAAAAAAATCTAAACTTTCACTTGTTTCCAGTTGAAATGTTGGGGCATGACCTAAACTAGTGCATTCATGCCAGTGAAGTTATTTTTAATAACCTTTTGTAAAACGTCCTCTGTCACAGTCAGTAAATCAGAAAATATATTTCGATGAGACTCACTTTTCAGAATAAAAGTACAGTTTTAAAAACAACTAAATAGGCATTTAGCATATTTCCTGTGAACTTTTTCAGTTGTTTGAAATCCTAATATAATAATAAATGTTTCTGTCAGATGTAAGCAGGAAATAATCATAATTTAGAGAAATAAGTGTGAAAACATCAGTGTGAATAATTAGTGTTGCTCCTAGTTCTATTATATTTGACTCTTTGTGTGATAGAAAACATTTTATCATGTTTTCTAAAAATAGAAAACATTTTTACATACTTTCCACAAAGCTGTAAATACTGTTTGCTTGTGTTTAAATGCTCAGGAGTGTTAGCTGCAGAGCTAACGGCTCGACGAGATCAACTCTGCTGATCACATCCTCAGATTTTTATTTTGGTATCAAATATAACCTGTTTTATAACTACGGTTGAACTGTTATGTATTTAAACCTGTTGCTTCTTTCTTAATCTGCTTGTTTTAGTTTTTCTGATGATAAATAAATAATAATGGATTTATTTTACATACATTTTTACATATTATTTCTCAGTTTTGATCCTGTGGACTTTGTGTTGTATAGATAAAAAACATCTTATTAAAACAATTTTCTTTTCATTTTCATTTTTAACCCTTTCACTTCATCCCTTCCCTGCTTTCTCTCGACAGTTGTTGCTGTTTGCATTTATTCTGTAGAACATTTTTTTATTTTTAATTCAAGAAAACATGACAGAGTTTTTTCTCTTATATTTTTCAGATTTAGAAATCTCTGGTCATTTTTTTTGTATTATTTATTTTTAATATTTACATGATGCCTCACTTCCCTCTTGGCACAAAGTAAAAATATTTCACAACTTAAGGAAACAATAGAAGACAGTAACCAAAGACAGTAGCTGAGATTTAAACTTCTGTTTCAGAGCAACACAGAAATCATTTTGGTGCTTTGTCTGTAAATTCAACACATAAAGAAAATAAAAAATGTACATTTTTATACAGTCAATTGTATTCAATGCAAAAGTTTTGGTCAATACAAGAAGCGACGCTTGAAATCCAAATTTTAAGTAGCAACGTTTAAGAAGAAACACCATGTAAACAGTAACTTAACTCCCACAACAGAAAGAAAACGTCACCTCCAGAGCAGATATTAAACTTTAGCTACAAATTAACATGACTGAGAGCAAATGGACAGGATAATGGCAGCTTTTCCCCCAGTATAAAATAAATTCCCCATTTATGTTTAATAAATACAGACTCGTTAATATCACCAAAAAAGAACAATACATCTTGCAGAAGAATATTTATCTCTACTGGCTGTTCTTGTAATCCTGCAATGTTTAAAAGTCTTTATAGTTTAAAACATTTCATGCATTTAATGTAGAAGTAAAACAAACATTTATAGTTTCCTCATAGTATCATGAACAAACCTTTGAGTTTTACTTCAGTTTTGGATGCAACTGTAAACAAAAGTCATCTTGTTGTGTAACATTACAATCATCAGAGTCAAATAAAACATTTCTGAAAAACTATAAAATCCAGTTACAGGTAAGACTCATATCAACGTCACTTTTCCTTTGCATACAGTTTGATTCCTAAATCTGATTCCTAAACCTGATTCCTAAATCTGATTTCTAAATCTGATTCCTAAATCTGATTCCTAAATCTGATTCCTAAATCTGATTTAGAAAAACATCTCCAACATTTCGTGTTTTGTTCATGGAGAAATCCGGACTGAGCTTCTGTTGCTATTTTGACCAACTTTATTGCACGATTTATTTATTTTAACTAGGATTGAAATGCATTCATTTGTATTTTAATATATACAACTTGCTTAATTTGGTCATATTTCTGCACATGAATCAGATCTGATTCTAAGAGCCTCTGAAATATTTGTTGTGAACTGGGACTTTAAAATGAACTGAACTCAGACTGTATGAAGTAAAGGAATAAAATGAGGTGGACGACAATCAAACGGGCCAAATGTATCGTTTGAAATTGTGATTTTTTTTTCAAATTAAACGAAATTAGTGTCAAATGTTAGTGCAGCAAAAAAAAAAAAAGTGTGTGCTATTATTTTAAAGTTTATAAAAAATGTTTCCAGAGGGCATCCAAGGTCAACCTCACCCCCACATTTACAAAATTAAATAAGTTTTATGTAAATCAACTGTGGTGCAAATGCACTACCTGCACACATTTGACATCAGTTTTGTTAAATGTGAAGAAGGTTGAACGTCACTTTGCTCAGACTCGGTTTCTTACAGTTCGGTTTTGCGGGAATCTTTGTGCACGGCGGCATTAATATTCTGAGCTGCCCTGATCGCAGATTTCATGGACGTTTCAATCCACGCGTGAGGAAAAGCCATGTGTTCTCCTGCAAAGTGAATGTGTCCTTCATGCCTGAAGAGCTCTGCAGAATACTCGATGTGTTGGTACGGCGCGAACAGAGCGAACGCGCCCAGGCTGTACGGATCCAGTTCCCACTTCTTCACGATCACGCCGGTGCAGAGGTCCCGGATGTACTCGCCGTGGATGTGGGTCAGGTCCCTGAGGGCCAGCTCCTTCAGCTCCTCATCACTGGCTCCCTGGAAGAGCCGTGAGTCGTCGCCCCAGGTGTAGGAGGCCAGCAGGACGCCGATGCTGTCGTTTCCTGGGAAACTGTGGCTGGGGTAGTAGATGAAGCGAGTGGGTCTGTCTGTGATGCTCTTCCCTCCGATGATGCCGTCGCGCTTCCAGAACTTTTCCTTAAAAGTGAGGATGATTTTGGTGGAGCTTTCGTAGTGAACGGCGCGCATGGCCTCCATCTTTCTGGTGGAGAGCGGCGGATCAAACTCTATGAAGAGGGCAGCTTTGGCCGTCGTGGTTACCAGCACAGCGTCGGCCTGCAGACTTTCTAAAGACGGGTCGTTTTCCCTCTGATACCAGACGGTCACGCCCTTATGGGTCCGCTGGATCCGCCTGACCCGGGAGTCCAGAAGGATGGGACCGTCCAGGACCGTCAGGAACGCTTTAGCCAGGAGATCCGTCCCTCCAGTTATTTCATCGTACCTTCAGACAAAACGGGTCAAAATGAGCTCATCTCTTTATCATTTTGTTATATGTGTTGCTTTGATATATTGATATAAAAAACTAAAATAAGTCAGAAAACAGAAAAGCCTAGAGAAGAATAAAAATCAAGTAAAATCTGAACATAAAAATATAAAATGAAAAAAACATTTGAATAAAATAAACTAAGAATAAAATAAAAACAAGTGTAGAAAAAAATACTGGTTATCATATTTGTGATCATTTGGGAATCATAAACTGAAGCATTGGAGCATTTATTAATGTGTAAATCTGAAGTCGTGTTTTTATTTAAATAACTAAAAAACACGACTAAGGGCAAATGGGCAGGATAATGCATCATGTTATACCTGAAATATGAAATCACCAAAAGGAGTGAAGGAAAATGGACAAAAATACAATAAAACAAAAAAGCAACAAATAATTTACACTAAAGCAGAATCAGAAAACGGTACTTAAAGCAAAACAACTCGCACAGAAATAGTTTTTATTTAATTTAATATCTAAGTTTTTTGGTTTCTCAGTCTATTTTTCACTTGAACAGTTTTTCCCACAGATAAACCCACATGGAGACAAAGCTTCTCCCAGCTGGCCGTGCTGGTTTAGAGAAATGAAAATGTTCTTACGTGGTGGCGTCGCTGACGTCGTTCTCGATGTAGATCATCTCAGTCAAAGCCAGATGCATGAGGCTGTTCTCGTTCAGCAGATCCCCGATCATCCTCACTGCCTCTGCGCTCAGACCGCCTTCAGTCAGCAAATATTCCTGCAAAAAACAGAAACAAACTGATAAAACTGCTGAGTTTCAGCTGGTTAGCTTTACTTCCTGCAAGTTATTGATCTCATCACTTTTTACAATAACAATTATTTGACTTCCCCCAGTTTGCTTATCCACTTCCTAATCTGTTTTATTTCTGAGTCTGTGGCATGTCCCGTTTGATCAGGTCTAAGTTAAAGTTCAAGCTAAAATGTTCAAATTCTCAAATGATAGTTTGTGAACTTTCCAAAAGGCCAGATTTTGTTATTTTTCTGATTTCATATGTCTTTGTAATCAGGTATCAAACTGGTCGTTAAACTCATTAAACATAATTTTTAAAGCAGAATATGCTCAAGTTACTCTGTTGTGAAAATGATTGTTTGGTCCAGACTCTAACATTTGCTGTAAATCCATTAAACCAGTCAGAATATTACAACAGGTAATAGTATAACAGACTTTTAATGTCTTATCATAAACTCTGAAGTTGTGAAAGGAAAATAAAATCAGAAAAATGAGCGATGAGAATCTGACGTAGAAATGGAGACTGATTTGGAAAAACGGACGACTGAGGACCTCTGGCGTTTATTACAAGAATTACAACGACATTACTCCATTTTACATCCATTCCTCCATTTTCTTGTTTGAAGCTCATTATAACATGTTTTATATATTAAAATGAAAAGTACAATCTAAGTGTTTCACTTCCAGAGGTTAGCTTTAAGCTTTACTACGTGAATAAAACAAAATGTGTAGACTAAAAATATGCAACTTAACACATTTTTAATTTTTAATGAGCCATTTACTTTTACTGCAATGATAAAAATGTTTTGCTGCCTTAGTGAGTTTCCTTAAGTCGCAGCTGTGCCAGCAAAATGTAATAAATGTAACATGAAATTCAGAAGTTTTACCTATTTTGCTCATTTACCGAATGTTGGCGAGTTTCTCTCCCTGTTTGGAAGTTTTATATGTTGAGTAATTTCTACTATAAAATCTATAAAATGCTTTGATTTATTCTTCAGTTGTTTCCTGCTTTCTTGAGTTTATATTTGTTTTTTATTTAGGAGGAAGAAATGCGTCTGTTTGAGCTGCTCTTCCTTCATGGAGCCTCATTTATAACATTTTAATGACTTTCTGTGAGTTTTGCTGAGAAAACGTAACTCAAGCCTGTTTCTGTGGCTTCGTTGAGTTTCTGATCTCAGATTGTGATGTCAGCAGTGGTTTACCTTTACGGAGTAATGGTCGTATTTCCTGAGCATTGCTCTGCAGCCGTGAGCCTTGACCTCTTCTTTGACCTGCAGAAACAAAACTGAGAATTAAACATCTGGTCATGCAGTAGCAAGGAGCAGTGCTGTTGAAGTTTCAGTCGATGTTTCCTGTTCGTCCTTGCGTACCTTTCGCAGAGCCATCTCCAGCAGCTTCAGCGGCGCGATGTGGCGTTCTCGTTTCGGCAGGTTGTACTTCAGAGCGTCGGGGTCTTGCATCACGGCGAAGGTTTTCGGCCGCAGGCCGTGAACGTAGTAGAAGGTGTTCGTGTCGACCATGTGAAATTTATTCATCTTCAAACCAAATTCTTGGATTAAAAAGCGGACGATGCTGTTGACAGATATGTTGATGAGTTTTTGTTTTTATGTTTCACATCCTGGTGACCAATAGAGATCGACATCATTTCATTTTTCAGTTTTAATGAAACAACTTGTCAGTTTTTCTTCACTTCTTTTGGAGTTGAGGTTTCTAACCTCACGTTTTTATTTGGTGTTAATCTTGACTTACTAGTGATAACTGGGGATCCTCATGGCTCCCAGGTCGGCGTACCAGCCCTCGTTTTCATTCCTGTGGGTTTGCACACGGCCTCCAATACGACCACTGGCCTCCACTATGGTCACCTTTTCCAAACATCAACCAATCGGTAACAGGGTCAGGGGTCACCAAATAGCCAGGACTGTCTTACTTTGTATAAGTATTGATTCTTAAGAGGTAATAGAAACAGATAACACAGTAAAATCACTGGCATAGACAACAGAGATTCGGTTTATTGCAGTCATTTGTCTTAGTAACTGATTGGTGCTTTTAAAATGTTGAGTTTTGTTTGACAGAAAAATTGGCAAAATCTACGAAAACTAAACCAGGAATTGACGAGGTTTCATTCAAATCAGCTCAAGCACATTAGAGTTTTAAGAGCTTGAAGTTAAACTTTAAAAAGTTTTAGTAGTGATGGTTTCTTCAGGTTTCTTGACGACTCATGCTTAAATCAGAGGAATATAAATAAAACCCTGGTGATTCCTCATAATCCAGGACATAAAATACCAAATCAGAAGGATACTTTTTATTAATTGTAGTTACAGTAATCACACCAAGAGGCCATTTAAGCTTCCAGCTTAAACACAATGATAAAGATCAGATTGTGTTTAAGCTACAATGACAAACATGTGAGATATTTATTATCTGCCATCTAACAAAAACAACTGAAAAAACTTCACATCCTGAGCTTCGTTTGCCTGTCTGACCTGATGTCCTGCTTTCTGCAGCAGCTTGGCGGCCGTCAGTCCAGCCATGCCGGCTCCGACGATCACGACATGATGAGGCGTTTTGATGGCGGGGAGGCCGTGGGCCATCGTGTGCATCAGGTCGCTGTAGTCGGTGTCGTTCAGGCATCTGGCCAGGTCTTCCTTCACGCTGACCGCAGCGGCGGGTCTGCACACGCTGAGCAGCAGCAGAGGACCTGCAGACACAGAAACAAACATTTCAAGCTTTATTTTACAATGTATGCACAGGAAACTGGTGGAAAGGGACAAATCCAGGCATTTTAAAGCAATTTTACGTTGTTTATTTAAAAATTCAAGCAAAAACTCAAATTGCATTTAGTGCATGTATTTTTTTATTTTATAAAAAAATAACAGATTATTCAAAGTCATTTCTATAAACTTTCAGGAACAAGTTTCTCTAAATACAGGTTGGATATTCAGAAATAAGTAATATTTAATAAATTAGAATATATGTTGATTTGTCAGATTAAAGTACTTTCTGAAGTTGGACCAGGTTTTTATTTAGGTTTCCATTTCTGTATAAAATGATTTTTATTGGTGGGATGAAACACTCAGAATGTAAATGTCATGTTTTCATTAACTGTAACCATCATAATTAACAGAAATAAAGGATTTTGCAGAGCAATACAATAAATTGACTTTTCAATAACAGATTTATTGACTGTGTCTAAACTATAAATATACAGAAAACAACAGATCTGGGATTTTAACTCCCAACTTTCAGAAAAGTCATGAAATACTTACATAAGACCCACAGCAGCACATGATGCCCCATCTTAAATATTCTATAGTAAACATTGAGAAAAAAGAGGAAAACAGTGAGCAGGTGAAGCAGGAAACACAAAGCAGTGTAAACATGTTTAGCATTGTTTTGGTCATGTTTAGTTACATTTTAAGAGAATAAATCCAATAAAATGACGTCTAAGATGAGTTTGATGTCTCTGGTTATCCATCTGCGGCTCATATTTCTTTTCTCATTTCATTTTATAAGAGGATAAATGAAATAAACTCACCTGAAGAGGAGCTCATCTGCTGCAGGAGGAATGCTGCTCCCCGATGGAGACGCCGTCTCTTTTCTATCGCTCCCTCCCCTCAGACCCTCCCAGATGGGACGACCTTGGTTTGATTTTTGGTTTCACTTTTCATCAAGTCATGCAACCAGCTGATCAACTGCTTAGGTCTCATGATCAACCAGTAAAAGCTCTTTAATGCAGCAACGGTTTTTTAGCATGTCCCAACTTTCCTCATATTTAATAGCTGATGATGGTTCAACAAAACCACCAGAGGTTAAATACTGAAAACTTCACATCAGTGTGATGCAGCTCTCTGAATATAGGAAGTTTCTCCAACACATCATTCAATCAGCTGACGGCAGTGAAATCTGCCTGATGACGAGTGGAAACAAGGAAACGTTCCAAAGATTCATTTTTAATCTTCTTTTATGTGGTAACCAAACATTTTCTTGTCTTTGTCACATGCCTGAAGTGATTTCTGCCAGCAGGAGTTCTGCCTGGATGGAGGGAAAAATGAGAAGTAAGAAAAATACTTTCGATTTCAGAAAAACCACTTGACTCTGCTGTTTAGTAAACTGTAATGTTTTGGGATTTCTCAAGTTGACGATGACCGTTTCCCAATCGTCAAAGTCCCACTTGAAACACCAAAGAAGTTTTAAAAACAAAAATATGTTACACTTGTGTGAGGAATCTGATAATACTTCCAAAGCATGTCTAATAGATGAACTTCACAGCTTTAGCATCAAATGAAGAGCTTTGCATTAAAGTCATAAGCTAAAGTTTTACGATAAAGAGCATAGTCCTAGTCAAATCCCAAATCATGTTTTTTTTTGCAGATAAGCTGTATAAATTGGGCTGGTGTTGGTCAGAGGGCCTGGAGGCGCCGCTGCAATCAGCCTCACCTCCATCAGGGCAGCTGTGGCTACTGTCCAGTAGCTGTCCACCATCAGTGTGTGAATGAGTGAATGAGTGAATGACTGAATGTAGTGTGAAGCTCTTTGGGGCCCTCTGGACTTGATAAAACGCTCAAAAATAGCAATCAATGCTTCTTCAGGAATTTAGAAAGTTTCCAGATTTGTCACATTTTTAGGGAAACAAGGCAACAGAGGAGCCTGTTGGTCTGGGAGTGAAGTTAGTTTCACTTTCCATCTCCAACCAGGAATAGATGAATTATTCATGTACTTTAAATATACTTTCTGGATTCAGCTAGTAAGTCAAAGTTTTTCTCTCTTCATCACCAGGAAGTTGGGTTCTGCAGTGATTCAAATATTTGACTCAACAGGCCAAAGTTTTTCTATCCTTGTATTTTCCTCCTCTTCTCTGTGGCGTTCCACAGGGCTTCATTTTAATTCTCATGAGTTTTTATTTATTCCCAGTTGGTTCCAGTCTCTGGATATGAGGCTCTTTTTGCAGACCAGTCTAACTTCAGCCCTAAGTGGTCAGTGTCACAACCTGCATGGCCTAAAATTTGTATTAATACTTGAAAATGATTTGTTCAGTCATATATATGTAATCTTAGCTTCACCCACCAGCCTCCCAGAGTTTGGCTTTCTTTATTTCTGCACCAACCTGTTTTCTCAGGAACGTTCCTCAAAATGAAGTAGGACAGGTTTGACCAACATTTCTTCACATCTGTTGACAGCTTGACCTTCTCACAGCTGCTAGTTGTCCTGTATGTTTGAGCCATCGTTCATAAACCAATTATTTAAAAGGACGAGGCTGATTAGAAGTAACTCATTCAACCTGCATGTGGAAAATTAAAGTAAAATCATTTATATTCAACACTTTTACTTACAGAGCAGTTAGCAGGTCTGCAGCATAATGAACAAAATGCTTTGAGTGTTAATATTTATATGATAAATATGATAAAATATGTTTAGTCCAACTATAAACTTTCCCTAAATTGTGTTGAGTTTCTGCTTCAGAATATTTACAGCAGCAGAACATGAGAAAATGTGTTAAACAAAAACCCGGCACATCTGAACTGCTGTGAGAACGACAGAGCTGGACGAGTCTCAGCTCAAACAGGAAATGAACCAGCAGCCACAGAAGCTGACATCAGTTTCACATCGAGGGCACCAACATTAGGGCATCAGAGAAACGAAAGGAAAGACAAACCAGCTCCTCCATGTTGGGCTGCAGAGCTGCAGACTGAAGAGAGAGAACAGAAACATCCAATATGATCCCTGAGTGGTGGTCAGGAGGTCAGCAGCAGCAGATGGAAGCAGATATACATAAAGAAAACAATCATAGTAGAAAATTAAATAAAAACTACAGCCAGGTCAAATGTATGGCGGGAAAATACTGCAGATATGAAAAATGAGCATATTCAGATTCTAATAAATGTGCAACTGAGTGAGATTGTCCACAAAAACTGTACATACTGCTCTGTATATTGGTGCAAAAAATGTCCAAGAATAAGGAAATTTATATTTATTTGTTTTGATTTTGAATTTTCTTCTTTGCAGTCCAGTTTGAGTTTAATCCTAAAACACTGTGGTTAACTGCATCTTTCTACTTTATAATGTATTTTTAAATAATCCTTTGCAGTTATTTGCATTGTGTGGACATATTTATAAAACTCTTGTGTTTTTTGAATTGTTGCTCTGTGGTTGATAGACTGAACATGATTAGATTCTGACAATGACCAGGTGGAAAAATGAACACACTCCATCTGAGATGTGTGTATATCTGACTTTAATTCATGAATAAATGAAATTAATCTGCTGAATTTGTAAATGTTAAGTCTCTTTTATGCCAACATTTGAGAAGGTGAGACATGCAGAATAAATTAATTTAGTAAAAAGATAAAAACTTTATTTTTATTTGCAGTTTTACAGAAGATGTTCAGGGCCACAGAAAAAAAAGGATCCTGACATTTTTCTCATAATTTTAACTTTAATCTCAGAGTTCTGACGTTTTTCTCAGAACTTTTACATTTTTCTCATAATTCTGACTTTAATAACAAAAGTCTGAGATTAAAGTGAGGATCTTTTTTTTGTGTGGCCCTAACCATCTTCCATAGGTAGGAAAATGTCTTTATACAGTTATTTTTACTCTAGCATAACGTCTCCCTGTTAAATCACCAATAAATGCAACTAAATAAAAACCCAAAATAAAACAAATTACAAAATGTTTCTCACTTAGAAATGAACAGAATCTGATTGTTATTTAGTAAAAACTCGTCTCAGAGCTCGTCTCTCCCTCTGCATCTGTCTGAAAACATGGCGGCCTCCTTGTTGATGTTGGCGGCGGCCCGGATGGCCGACTTCATGGCCGTCTCGATCCAGGCATGTGAGAAGGCCGTGTGCTCTCCGGCGAAGTGAACTCGGCCTTCGCTCCTGAACAGCTCCGCTGCGTACTCCAGGTGCTGGTACGGCGTGAAGAGAGCGAAGGCGCCGTGGCTGAACGGGTCCTGGCTCCACTTCTTCACCAGGACCCCGGTGCAGAGGGACCGGATCCTGTCACCGTGCAGCAGCACCAGGTCTCTGAGAGCCAGCTCCTTCAGCTCTTCGTCGCTGGCGCCGAGGAAGAGGAGGGAGTCGTCAGACCAGGTGTAGGAGGCCAGCAGGACGCCGATGGAGTCGTTTCCGGGGAAACCGTGGCTCGGGTAGTAGATGAAGCGGGTGGGCCGGTCGGTGATGCTCTTCCCCCCTCTGATGCCGTCCTTCTCCCAGAACCTCTGGCTGAAGGTCAGCAGGATTTTGGTGGAGCTGTCGTAGTGGACCGACCTCAGAGCGTCCATCTTCTGGACGGACAGCGGCGGGTCGAAGTCCACGTACAGAGCTGCTTTGGTGGTGGTCGTCACCAGGACGGCGTCGGCGTCGACGTGGCGCAGAGAGGACTCCCGGTCCGCCTGGTAGGAGACGGTGACGCCTCCGTTTGACCGGCTGATGCGCTGGACCTTGGAGTTCAGGAGGATCGGACCATGAAGCAGCGAGAGAAAAGCTCTGGGCAGGAGGTCCGAGCCACCGGTCACCTCATAGTACCTTCAGACACAAGGACACCCTGGGTCAGAACCAAGACTCATCCCAACATGTTGTTGTTTTGTAATAATACATAAAGATTTGGTAATTGATACTTTGGATTGGATTTAACAGAATTAGAATTATTTTGTTGTCATTGAACAAGAATTTTAATATTGACTAAGAAAATTGTGATTTTCAGTGTTTAGTTTTTTCTTTCTTGTCCTGAAACGCCTCGCTGAGTTTGAAGAGATGGTTTCCCCAGTGAGGGGCCGTTAACCTTATTTCTATTTCTGTTGTTTTTTTCTATTCACAAGATCTTAAAACTCAAAAGTTACAACTTCTGATGAATGATATGCTGTGGAACAAACCACGACAAGTTTAAAAACTTATTTACAAATCAACTAAAATGCCTGTGGATTAAAACCTTTAAAACCTGGATGAAGCTGGAGATGTTTTCTGCTGTAGTTGTGTTAATTTTAATCATGAACACAAAAGGTTTGGTAGGAGACATGCATTGTGTTTCATTTCGTTTTCAGCAGGCTATACGTCGCACACACAGGTTCAGGCAAATCAAGAATCTCCAGCCATGAATCATTTTGTTTTGCTGCAGCTTCGTTCTGGCAACTCGCCCAGCAGAGAAAACGTCTAGTTAAACTGGACGCACTATTCAGCAGGAGAAGAGCTGCAGGTACATCTAATACAGAAAATTATATTCTAAATATTGTTTTCTGAAGCTTTTATGTGAAGCCAGGTTATAAAAAAATATTATGTGGAACAAAAAATGGTTATTTTAGATACTTTGTGTTTGTTGTTTTTGACTAAAGTCAGTAAAACTCAGTTTGATCTGGAAGCTTCTGGAAGTGAAACCATGAACTGCTCTGTGCGTAGTGTAAATATCTAAATATTCTGGCCTCCTGCTGTGCCGTAGCTCTGCTCTTACGTGACGTTGTCGCTGATGTCCGTCTGGTCGTAGATCATCTCGGTCAGCGCGGTGTACATCATGCTCTGTTCGTTAAGAAGCTCCCCGATCATCCTGATGGCCTCCAGGCTCAGATTCCCTTCTTCTTTCAA